CCTAGTGAACCAGAGAAATTAACAGTTCTTTCAGAAATAGCATCATGAGGTTTAGAAATGGTTCCAGAAGAAACAGTGGAATGTCTCATGCCATCACTATTAGCCTTTCTAAGTTTCCTAAGTTCACGTAAACGAACCCTTTCAGATAAAGGCAGAGAAGGGCGCACGAATACACCACGTACAGGAAAGTTTTTTCAACAAAGAAGCACGTGATAGAACTCGTTTTTGGAAAAATGAGACGGAGAACAACGTTGACCAAACGAAGATAGTAAGGGTTAGGCTTTCCCATCCTATAAAAAGTAACTGGTGCACATTCAATGTTTAGAAATTGAAAAATTTTCTTGAATACAGTCAAAGAGGTACGAAACTTCTTTGCGAACAATCAGTATTTTCTATTTCAGCAATGCCATGAATAACAATTGATCTGGCCATTTCAGTTTCCTCACAACAAGGATGACTATTTTTAAGAGAATGAGAATCAGAAGAGTTATTACCAGAATGAGACAACAAGTTTCTTGGACTCCTACTAGCAGAGAGAGCCTGCTTAAGAGAAACAGTTTCTTGTCTGAGGCGAGTATTCTCAGCGGTCTCATTTTCTAGGCGCTTCTCAAGAAGAGCATTTTTGCGAAGCGCTTCCGTTTCGGTGGCCCTATCCAAGAGGTGGCATATAATGGTTTTTAGATGCGATGGCAAGACGTTATCCGCGTTCAACAGAGCAATCGCATAGTGCACCGGTCCCATCATCATCACTTGGCGTTGAAACAGGGGGCTTCCTCTTGACCCTACGCTCGTTATTGCCGCATCGAGAGACTGGCGTATCCATTGTGAAAAAAGAAAGAATAAGAAGGGCAAAAACGTCGATCTCCATATACTTAGACTTCAAATAGCAAAGAAAAGAAGGAAAATAATAAAGTCCGACGAGAGCCCCACGACGGTGTAAAAAACCTTTGAATGACTGAAAGGGGATGGTGGCTTTATAAAAAGTGAAGATGACCCTCGCCACTAGGGTTGTCGCAGTGGATGGACGCAGAGCGGAGCAGATCGATCCACGGTTCAAAGATCGTCGATCAAGGTACGAAGGTTGATTAAGTAAAAGTGGATACTTACATTTCGACTTCATTTAGAACCATTTTCGAAGCCTAATTAACGAGCACCTCATAAACTATGCATGCTCGGAGTCACAATCAGACAGAGCCCATTAAGATAGTTAAAATCGCCCATTCCTCTCAATTCTGGACCTCCCCAGAAATGCATAGCAAAAACGAAAACATTTTTAAGATCCTTGCATAGGACCCCTATAACAAGCAACAAACCATCTCCAAAAAGCGCGCCGCGATCTGAAAGACCTCCCTTGTAAGATACAGTAAGTTCTATCGGCACTGATTAGTCATATATAGAAACTCTTTGGACCAAATAAATATGAACTCTGTCGTAGCCTTGCAGGCCCTCAAAGACTGTGGCTCAAAATAAAAAAAAACATGCACCTCGCTTGAACTCAAGTGTTTCTGATACAAGTATATAATATTCCAGAGTCCCGTAGATAAAACCGCCATGATATAAGGAGAATTCGAAGTAGAGTGCATCAGTTTGTCAATAGAAGCAGCGGAAGCTCGTATGAAGACAAACGGAATGCCTCAAAGCGGGCAATAGCAAATTTTCCCGCCCTCAACACTTAATTTTGAACAGCTAAGCGGGGCAACTCTTCTTCAACCCTTCTCTGGACTATGCCTATACGTATAACAAACACCGAATATCGCCTCTAAAACGGCTCACAATGACTTTTCGGCTAGGAATTATTAGTTAGTTAGTTAACCCTACCCGTCGGCAGGTCCGGTAGCAGTTCAAGCTCCCTTGAGGAAGGGAACGAGCTTCTTCGGCTCTTACAAGACTTGTACCAATATTTGATATTAGATACAAAGCGCCGCGGAACACCACTTACGATTGCTCCGCTTTCTGCATGGTCAGTTATATCAGCAGAAAATTAGCAGCAAGTTGTTGGGATTAAGGTCTCTTCATGTACACCAGTTTGAGTTCAGAAATGAAGAAATTATCAAATAACAAAAAATAGTTTATAGAAGTACTTTATAGAAACTGTACAGCCTCTGCTTTTTTGCTTTTCAGTTGATACTTCAGGGTTATTCTGCGCATTCGTGCAAGAAGGCATGAGTTCTCTGCTAAAACATATCGCCTTCACATCAATGTGGTCGTTTCTCTGGTCATGTATTGTGTCATACTTTTCGTTCAGCTCGGCCTACCCGTTATGCTATTTGTCATCACGGTATTTTTTCAGCTGTCATGGATGACTGCAATGTGAGTTTTGTCATACAGTACGTCTAGTTTCATAATCCACCACAAATCCTGCTACTGTTATACGG